CCCAGACGGCTAAGAAGACGCATGAGGATGCTTCCAGCATCGAGTGTTCATTGTGCACCCGGGGCCCTACCCTCATCACACACGATCCCACACGGACCGCAGAGTGGGTACCACTCGTCTGCCTCTTTTATGGACAGGGAAACTGAGGCACAGCAAGGAACAGTGACTTCTTCCTGGTCCTACTGCTGGTCAGAAGCAGGGTGGCCATTCTCTCCCTGGCCCACTTGACTTTGGAGGCCACCAAATTCCAAGTCTAGGGCCTGGGGCTCCCTTTCTGCAAGTAGTTATGAAAGCCCAGCCGCAGGTCAGGCTTGATCTAGGTCCTGGAACACAGAGCTATGGAAGAGGTAGATAAGTAACCAGATCCTGCCACGCATATATTTCATGTGCTCACTGTGACGTGCAGGGAGGAGTTAAACACACAGCTTGGAGGGAGCATGTCCCCCCCTCCATGACAGCCCCTGCTCTGTCAGGATAGGGGTCACTCTGGGGAGAACAGATTATTTCTATTCAGTTCAAAGATTGGGTTGGATTTAACTAGGCAGGGACAGGGGCCTGATCCATAGAAGTCACCCTGTAAATGGCAGCTTCCTCAGAGCTAAGCAAGTTAGTATGGCCCCTGCTTGGTTCCCCCTGTGATGAGAAACTCGTTCTCTCACTACCTCCCTCAGCCCCAAGGGGAAGATTTGAGTCAGTCTCCCTGGGGTGGTGGCCCACAAAGACACCCTCAGTCTCTTGGAAAAGAGGCCCCAGCTCCACCTGGGGTTGGGGCAGCAGCTCAGGCCAGCCCCCTGCCCATCTATACTCAGGGAGGTAGAGGAGTTCTGGGGCCCTCCCTGCCACCTCCTTCTTGAGCTATATTAGCATCCGCCCATTCTCCAGGTAAGAAAACCGAGGGCTACACAGAGCAAAGGAGCCTTGATGCTGTCGTGGTTAAGAGTTGGGCTGGTAACTGTAAGATCAGTGGTTGGCAACCACAAGCCACTTCAAGGAAGAAAGCCGGGGTTTTCTACTTCCATAAAGAATTACAGTCTCAAAACCCACAGGGGCAGTTCTACCCTGTCCTAGAGGGTCGCTATGAGTCGGCATTGACCTGATGGCAGTGTGATACAAAGGAAGCCACTTCCCCCATCTGGCCTCTGTCTAGAGAGTTTCAGGCTGGGGCTGCTCAAGGCATGCCAAGCCCCAGCCCCTCCTGGAAGCCAGAGAGGAGGCCCAGGGAAACCATGCAACACAACACCCTCCTCTCTGTCACACTGCTGCTTTCTGCAAGCCCCACGCAAGGAGAATTGCCTGCCCGGGCCCTTTGCCCAGCTGCCCCCGCTGAATGGACCACGTGGTCTCAGTTCAGCAGCCGTCCAATCGAAGGCAAACCCTGAGAGGCTTCCAGGAGCCTCGGTCCGGCCGGCACCTTCCCTGGTTCTTTATTTTCTTGACATGATTTTTTTTGGGGGGAGGGGGGTAAGAAGGAAAAAGTCATTCTGCACAGAACAGACGGTATTTTCTTTGTTCCCCAGAGAGCTCCAGCCTTCCATGGCACCAGGCCTGAGAGCAGTGCCAAGTTCTTTGCTTGTTCAGACGCCTCATGAAGTTAGAAGCAGCTGGGAGCGCCGAGTTTGTGCCTCAGTTTCCCCAGCTCAGGCGAGCCGTGCTGGGTGAGGCCGGGGCTGCAGGGGGAAGGACCTGGCTTTCACAGAGCACTCACACGGGGTCACCGCCGATGTAAACAGGCAACACCACTCAGCTCACAGAAAGGGTTGAGAAGATAGAGGGAGGGAGAGCAAGGAGGTCCTTTCTGAGCCAGGATAATCCCGATTAATCCCGATGGGCTTCCTGGAGGAGGGGGCATTAGCGGAGGGCTGGGAAGGCCCAGGCGGAATCATGCCGCTGGGAGGACCTCCTGGGTGGAGGGAACAGCTTGGACCAAGGCCTGGATGGAGGAGGATGGGAATGGCTCCAGCAACAAGTCCTGGAATTCACCTTCGCTGTCTCTGAAGGCAGCTCAGAAGTGTGATCCTTGTTCAGAGAAGCCAGATGAAAGAACAGAGTGCTGTGGGCCCTGGAGATGCAAAACCAGACACTCTGAGCTCCTCGGCTTGGAGCTTCAGGAAATCCAGGTCTCTGCCCAGCGGCCGGGTCTGTACATCTCTTGGCAACAGGACAGACCAGAGGGCCCACTGGCCGGCTAGGGCCAGCCAAGGCTTCCTTGTGTTGATTTACAAATCTCTCGTGGACAATTTTGCACATCTTCCACCACAGCACAGATTCTGCGGTTAGGCATCTGTCTCTCTCCCAGCCCCACAGCCCCTTCCAGCAGAATCCAAGCCGCTTTGCAAATCCACAGTTGCTGACAGGCCCACTGAGCAAGGTAAGCAGTGAGAGTAGATAAACACAAGCCACCCCATGCTTACTTTGTGGGGTAATCTCCCCCTGGGACCAGTTCAGGGACCCCAGTGGACCTGCTCTGGGCAGCCGTGAGAAGGGTGGGCTCCCTGGGCCCAGAGGGAGCGGCTCTTTAGGGGCAGACCCTCCGGCCTCTAACAACAGCGCAGATAACCCTGGTCCAAGGTTATGGCGGCTGTCCTTGGGGACTGCAGAGGCAGACCTAGGCCGGACCAGTGGGATCAGGGATGTTGCAGGGCAGGTGAACATGGTCCTGAACAAGTGCCTCATGCCATGCTGTTTGCTGCTCCTAGTCCACTGTCCCTTCTCCCACCACCCCCACCACCACCCCCAAGAGTGTTTTCCTTTCTTGCCAACATCTGTGGATCCCCTGCGTCTTTGGGACCCGACCCCATCACAAGCCTGAGGTCATGGCCCTGGGCCACGGAGGGTCAGGGTGGACCCCAGGCGGTGACATCCGCCCCTCTGCCTCCTTCCGCGTCCCTGCCGGTCACCGAGC